AAATGTGACAGGATGCCCAGAAACTGTTGGGGGTTTAGAGGGTTCACAGCCTTCTTGTTTCTGTTTTTTGTTTTTACAAATTCTGGACTTGAACAGTGTAAACTGCTGCAGCCAGTTCATGGTGTCAGTGTTAATGACAGAGGAAATGCTGTGTCTGTTGCCGTTTCTCTTTCTTTAGGTTTGGAGAAGATAGAAAACTTGCAGCAGCATGAGAATGAGGACATCTACAAACTAGCCTTTGAGATTATTGATCAGTACTTTTCAGGAGATGATGTAAGTTCACCACCAGTCATTTCTACCTCCGTTTTTATTAGTTTTTGTTTTTTCCCCCCCACTCAGTCAGAAACTTCATCTAATGTGATGATACAAAATTTCTGCTTTTCAGATCGATGAAGATCCGAGCTTGATCCCTGAAACCACTCAAGGAGGAACCTTCAACTTTGATCCAGCTTCCAACATGCAAACGAAGGAGTTCAATTTCTAAAAATCCGGGATGTTTGGTTCAACCAGTTGCACGGGTACTCTGTAATCACCCCAGACATTCATCCATCTCTCCTCCAATCTGGCAACCTGGTACCGAAGGATTTACTTAGCATCACTTCAACATGGAAACTCACCACTGAAGGGTTCACCCACCCCCACCTCTGCACTGCGGGGTGTTTTGGTTTTTTTGTTGTTTTTTTGTTTTTTTTTTTCCTTTTTAAAAACGGTCATCCTTCACCGAACACTGCAACCCTTCATAGGAGTCCTGGTTATTCGACAGGCACCATCACCATCTGGCAACTCGCATCAGGAGGATTGTCAGCATTCTCTGCCAGTGCTTCTAAATATCACTCAAAAATAAAACCAGAAGGAAGAAAAAGCCTTCGTGGCAAGATTTAATTGCCAAATGTCAAGTCTTCACAAAGACAAGAAAAGAAAAAAAAAACAACAACACACAAGCACATTTTCCGACACAAACGCGTGCACATCCGAAACACACACATATATACACACTTTTTGACACTTAGAATTTGTGTGCATACTTCTGTTAGAAGCCGTCATATCACTTACGGGGAAGAAATACTGCTGTTTGTTTGTGGTTTTATTTTTGTGCTTTCCCTCCCCCGGATTGTCCTCTGGTGTTATCTCACCCACGCACACTGACATACAAGTACACACATCGACACACTTAGTCACACTGATTTCCTGATGACCGGGCCCACCAATAACTCCTCTCTCACCCAGTTTAAAGAGTTAATCCCAGAGCTAAGCCATGATTAACCACGGACCCCCACTGCCCTCCCAGGAGAGTCCTTGGGCAGGTGGAGGGGGTGAAAGGGCTCCAAGGCAAAAAGAGGACTCCGTGGCAAACTGACTGACGGGACTTCTGACTCAATGACGTCACTTTTTTTAACGTGACCTCTGTTGAATTATCAAACTTAATGTTTGTTTAAAAAAAAAAACAGAAAAAAATCATCATCAAAAATGTGAAGAAAATGCCATAATTTTTTTTTTCTTTTTTCCAATACATACAACTGTAAGACCTGCTAACTGCCTGCTTCTGATTCAGCAGAGCGACAACAATTCTTTTTGTTTGTTTTAATGGATGTGAAAACCTGTCACGGGAGGAATCGCCTCACGAGGCGAAGACACAAGAGACTTAAGAGAAGAGGAACACGTCAGCTGTAGCGTCTGTCCCCCCACAGGAACATCCATTTCTGCAGCGTGAGCTCGGTCACGTCCCGTGATCCGGTGAACTGTTTGCTCGGGACTCCCCTGTAATGTGAAACTCAGAAAAAGCCGGGGGGGCGGGGGTTAACAACAAAAAAAAACAAAACAAAAAAAAAAAACCTAAAATCGTTCTGAATTGCTTATCTGACCTTAAGGTTATTTAAACTTTTTTTTTTTTTTTTTTGGAATTGTCTCTTCAAACAAATATTAGTTTCATGTTTCAGCTTCTTCTGGTTGAGTCTGTGGAGCTTCCTTACGTCTATTTTTACTTTTTTTTTTCTTTTCTTCAGTCTTATGCACATGTCAGAGAGGCATAATGATGTCTGCCTGCAGAAAGGGACCTATACTCGTTGAAGACTAGACTTATATGAGGAGTACAGGTCCTGATCTTTACAATACTTAACTACTTTCAATGAAGAGGTCACATGTCATCACTCAATTTGAATAATTGTACAAAAAAAACCCAACGTGATGTGTATCTCTCCTTGCCGTCTAATGAATATATGAATATATTTACATAAAGCCTGTACAAAGCTGCTGCAGCTGACAGTCATTGGATGGACGATAACTGTCAAAGATGGCTGGGGAGGGTTTCTTTTTTTTTTTTTTTTTTGTTGAAGCAATATTTTCTTTGTTTTATTGTTTTTATTTTTGACTTGCATATGTATTGTGATGACATGCTGATAAATTGGAACAGGCTGTTTTTCTCTCTTTTTTTTTTTTTGTTGTTTTTTTTTCCTCTACGTAGTGGTGACGGGGCTGTTTTAAAATGTACCGTCCCGTGTCCCAGTTGGTGTGTGGGTTCGGGTTTAAAGTGTCAAACTTTATTCCCGACCCTAGCCCTGGTCTCGAAGACTTTATGATCCCCCTGGTTGGCTGCTAACTACTTAGAAGGGGGTAAGAGCGGGGGCAGGGTCACACTGGGGTTTTAAATATTGGGTGGGGTTGTTACGAGCAGCCCAGGCTTGTTTTTGGGACTAGCTGTTTATTACTGAACAAAACTATAGAGAGGGTGTACAGTCATGAACTAGCAGACTAGACCGAGCCACTTTAAAGATTTACAATTTCGTTGCCTTGTATCCGAATTGGATACAAGCTTATGTTTGTTGCAAGATTTTTACTTGCTAATGAAAAGTTGTTTTAAATAAAATAATAGGAGAAAAGCAACAGACAGCGTTTTGGCCTCTGATTGTTTATATCTTTTTATAAATTTTAGATTGAATTCTTCTCTTTAAGGTGGCTCATTGATGCTTTCAACTCTTGTGCATATTAAAGACAAGAATGAGTTGAAAATCATTGTGCCTTTTGTTTTTCATTTCAACTAAAACTTTAGGTTTTATTGAATAGAAAAGACTCAGAGCGACTGGAGAATCTTTAAACGGGAGACGTGGCGACGGTAATGTGTCGGTCTCCCTGTTGTTGGAGTTTGCCATGGGAATGGTCAATGCTGCTCTCTGCTGTTGAGAGTAACTGCTCCCCTCCAATCTTATTCACTGAACATTGTAACACAGCATTTCTACCACTCATTACTCTTCCCCCCCTTCCCCTCCCTGAACACCACAAACCATCATTGCCATATTTCAGTCAGGGGATTCTCACATCTCCTCTCATCTCGCCCTCAGGACATGATCTGTGTTTCTGATCCTAACCAAAATAAACTTGCTGTTTAGCCGTTGGATCCTTCGTGCTTGCAAGTGTTGTGATTCACACATACTGTAGTGGATTTAAGTTGTGAGAGTGTGAGTGCGAGTATCTTTTGCCAGTGATGGATTCCAAATGTTTTTTTTTTTTTTTACCCCCTGAGCTCAGTTTTTCTGCTTTTAAGATCCACATCACCTCCTCTCTTTAGGTAAGGGCAAATTCACCACCGTATCTTATCAAACAGAAATGGGATGTGCTCTTACTCCTACCTGTGGCTCGTCCTTTACAGGTCAGATCGATCAGCAAGCGAACCACATGACGAGGCTCTCGATTGTGGATCTCGATTCCTTTCTTGAATTTCGAGTTATTTCCTGCAGAGGTGGACACCAGGTTGGTACCTGGCCTGCACATTTTCACTGCTGAGAATTGGGTTACGAGTGGATACTTGGAATAGCTCATTGTGTTCTGAATGTGTTTGTTTCCATTAGCCAAATCCATGCGTGTGTGTTGGTGAACACGCTGGCTCGCAGGCAATGATTTACTTGGCCTGCAGATAGTGAATTTGGGTTTCCTGTGGGGTCCGTTTAAAAAGAATAAGAAAAAAGTGCAACATCGATAACAGGCTTCCAAGTGGAACATTAATCCTGCTTGACCCAGATCGAGTTGCAGCAGGTTTACTGTGCGGCAGTTGTGTTATGGTTATTTTACTGCAATTTTGAGGGGGATGCACTACCAAAGCAAGCTATAAATTGAAATCGTAAGGCGCTCAAGGCAGCATTTTTACTTGCTGGTCAGTGTTAAAATACAGTTTTAATACCTTTAACATTTTCTGCTGATTTTACATTCGTGTTGCGTTCTACTAACTATGTATAAATTATTCTAACATATATTTATATGGAGTCAAATAACCCCTAGTTGATGCATAGCAAAACTCAAAAGGGTTGTTTCATTATGTGAGCTGAGATCTGAAGTTCATCCTTGACTGTGGAAACGGCAACTGACAAAACTATCACACCATAAGGTCCATTTAGTACCTGTTCTGGAGCTTTTAGTTGTGTTAACCAAGTTTCCTCCACAGATGGAGACGCCTGGTTGTCATGGACTTAATTACCGGGAACAAAAAGTCCCCGAAGTAAAGCTTCATGACAAGTGACCAGAATCCATCTGCTGTGGAAGATCATGGTTATGTATTATGGAAAACTCCACAACAGCGACAATGAAAACGTTGTTTTTAAGAGACCGTTGAAAAATAAAAAAACAAAAATATGACATTGCCTTTTGTACTTTTGTCAGATATTGTAAAATTTAACGAATGCTGTGGTTTGATTAATAATTTTCTGACAAATCAGATACAAGCTTACTCCTCCTCCCTAACTGAAAACTGATAAATTTGCCAGTTCAGAGCTTAAACCAGAGATATTTAAAGGGAGAGACTCTTTACGTGAAGAATACTGAATAGAAATCTATGGGAGAATTCTGTAATGCCACCGATGATGAATGAATGACACACATCTTCTCCTTCCTGTACAGTGTCCACTCTGTAAAAGACAAACAGGGAAACTTTTACCCAGTCATTTTGCTGCTGTAATGTTGTGAAGCTGTGCGAATGCGTAACAGAAATACAACCTGTGGGTGAAAGAAAAAATGCCTTTTAAACCATATTTCAGGGAAAACTCACCAAACTCTTCAATCATTTTTAATCAGATTTGATTGGTTATTCTATGAAAACAGTTTTTATGTCTGGGTGACCATTAAAATTGCTGTCATGATTCTCGCCCCATTTATTTAGATAATGATCTGACTCACTGAATGTAGACTGCTGGCATCGTCTGCCTTCTCCCTTTCTGCTGTCTGTGTTATTACTTTCAAAATCCCCTTCACTACGGGAAATAAGTTCTGCTAAAGGTTTGGATCATGCAGTAAAGTAGCCCTGCTAGGTTTTTATTTTTGTGCATCATCCATTTTAACGCCAGTGCTCGCCTCCCTGCTCCACCAAAAGACAATTCCTCCTCCACTATTTTGAGTGAACACCTTTGCTTCATCCTGTTCTTAGCTCCGCCCACGACAAATGTGATTAGTTTAAGGAACGCAAAAATGCCTGTAGCAGTGATTATGAGGTGCAGCCAGAACGTTCTACACGACACCACGTCAGCACTAAAGAATGGTCTGACAACGCAGGAGACAGTTTAGTTGGTATGATGTCACAAAATCACATCTTGAACCTGAGAGCATCAGATCAGCCAGCTGTCTAGGGTCACACCCTGCACAGTGAAGCAAAGAGATCCAAGTGAAGCAACTAAAGCCCTTTTCAGACATCATTCAGATAAATCCACCACAGTGACTGAGAGAGCAGCAGAATGCACGTTATATTTGTCATTCACACAAGATTAGACAATACACCACGTGATATATAATCATAAAATAACAACTCAAGCTCTGCAGTGGAAAAAAAGCACAAAGTGTGACTTAAAGCTACATCCTGACCAATCCTCTTGCCACATTCTTAATATACAATACACCTTCTTTATTTGTCATATTTTTCTATTTATTCTGACAACTGGAACCTGAGTACTAATTTGAAGCCATCTCATGTAGATACATTTACTGGTGTGACAATAAAGAATCCTTGAATATACAACTAATATTTGAAGTTACTGCTGTTGTTCTGTGTGTAAATACACTCTCCGGATCCTGATGCTGCAGGTATATAATTAACTCCCAAAGAAAGATATGCTGTGATTTTGGCGCACAAACTGTCTTGGCTGCTCTCTCTGATGTTTTTGGACGAATATTTGTGCTGAAAAATGGGAAATATCACTCCCTAAATTGCTTCAATCGCTTGTGCATGCCTATTTTTCTCCTCTGTGGTTCCCCGGTGGTGGAACGAGTTACCATCCATCCGTTATCTATACAGCTGGAGCCTATCCCAGCTGCCTTAGGACGAAGGCAGGGGACACTCTGGACAGGTCGCCAGACTGTCACAGGGCTACACGTAGAGACAGACAACCAAGCACACTCACATTCACACCTACAGACAATTTAGAATCACCAAATAACCTCAACATGTTTTTGGACCTTGTGGGAGGAAGCCGGAGAACCTACAGGGAGAACATGCAAACCACCCAGAAAGACCCCAGGTGTGCTCACCGGGACGCGAACTGGCGACCTTCTTGCTGCAAGGCAGTGATGCTAGTCACCTCACCACCTTGCAACAATGAGTTACCAAACTCTGTTCATTCTGCTGATTCCCTCTCAGTCTTTAAGAAAAGACTAAAGACCCAGCTCTTCACTGAGCACCTTTGCACTTGACAGACTGAAAAAAAACAAACAAACAAAAATTCTATTACCTCCCACACAGCCTGCTATTGGTGTCAATGCCCTAACACACTAGAACTTGTTTTATGGCATTTATCCAGATAGTTTTCTCCTGACTAGATCCTTGCTTGTGTTGTATCTGCTCTCTACGGAGACCCAAAAGGGACATGGAGAAAGAAAAAAAAAAAAACAGGGAGTGGAAAAAAAAAATAAAATAGAGGTAACTTTTGCAACATCTTGCAAAACTATAGCTTTATATACTTCTGGGTCTTTTTCGCAGAGTGGAGAAATGACAATGAAGGACACCCACCTGTATGATCTGACCTGTGAACACTTACTGCGAGATCCCAAGAAAGTTTTGCGAGATTTCGCAAAAGTGAAACGTGAGATCCCAAGAAAGTTTGCAAGATCTTGCAAAAGATACCTCTTTTTTCTCCTTTCCCTGTTTTTTTCTTTCTCCATGTCCCTTATGAGGCTCTGTAGCGCTCAGATGTACGTTGCTTTCATAGACTGTACTTTTATACAGTCTATGGTTGCTTTGGATAAATAAAATGAAATTGTAGAATTGTATCTGTTAATGTGACTGAGTGTAGCTCAAATTTGTGCAGTTTTGAAAGTGATAAACTATTACTAAGCCTGATCTGGTGAGATTGCCAAAGCAACTTTAATGGAAAAGAGCCCATTCAGACATGAAGCCGACTTGTTAAATGACCATCACATCTACTGAATTGAGCGTTTGATTAAAGTTAAGAGATTGTCTCCAAGCCCAGGTGGATGTATCTGTATGGTGACATTCGTAGTTTTCTCCTCAAAGTCTGTCCACCTGCTGAAGAACACCCTTGGGTGTGGTAGAAAGTTCTATAAAAGACTTAGCAGTAAGCATGGACTGAGTTCTGAATAATCGTTCGAGTAGCGACTCCATCTACGATCGATTGTTTTGGTCTTCTGGTCACGTGACATAATTTTTTCTCCCAACTTCCGCAAATAAGCACCAGTGGAGGTGAGAGTGGCAGCTTCAGCAGAAAGTGAAAACACGGACGGTCGGTCCGCCGCAGACCCCTTCTGCCATGGTGAAACCGTTCACCGGGAACCGTTAACGACTCCGGAGACAGGGCTACGTAACAGGTGAGTTTAGCGGACATGTTAGCAGCCTTCTTCTGAGGCTGTTAAAACTTTCTTTCCGGTTTAAATGCCGAACCGTAGCCGGCTGGGGACATCGAGTCGGCGCGGATTAGAGCGACTTTTCCAAGCGGATCAGTCTAGCAGCAGCTCCGCTCCCGTTCCTGTGTTGTGTCAGCTGGACTGTTTGCTGAATAATGCATTTGAGACAATAGCGACCGTTAACCAGCGAGCTAACCGTGTCCATGTAGCCGTTACTGTGACCGACCTGTGTCCGCTGCCTGCTTACCTTCACACAGGTGGAGGTTTAGCAGCGTTGTTACCAAACAGAAAACCTGTGTGACCTGGCTTTGTACACGTTCAACACCCAGTAAGTCTGTTTTCACAGAAATCCTTAAGCTCCCAAAGTACAAAACTGTTTTCACCAATAACAGTTTTGGTCAGACAGGAAAAACGTCAACACCTGACTGTCTCTCACTAAGCTCCAGGTCAGATGGAAAATCCGAACCACAATCAGAAAAGCAAGTTTAATTTAAATTCTGAGCGGACCAATGCTCTGTATATTTGTTGCATAAAAACACTGAAAAAGACTGATACTGTGTATATTTGTGTAAATGGCATGAACAGCACAGTGTAAAAAACATGTACAGTCGTCCTCAATTGTATTCATACCCTTCCATTAAAGAAAAGGCTAAATTCACAATAGTCACTCAAATAACTAGGAACTGAAAAAAGTAATAATAAATAAAAATTTACAAAATTATAATTTAGTGAAACAAGACATTGCTTTTGAATTTTGGTTAAAAAGAATAATTAAAAAAAAAAAAAAAACTGTCCTGGACAAATTAGAGTATTTTGCTGATGAGCAGTGGGCCAAAATCAAAATACCTGTCAACAGGTGCAGAAGTCTGACTGAGAGTTACAGAAAACACTTGATTGCAGTGATTTTTAGTTTATTATTACTTTTGTCAATTTCAACTTATTTCATTGACAGCTGTTTTTTTCCTTCTTTAATGGGAGGGTATGAATACATTTAAGGATGACTGTAGTATTCTGACAGCAGTATCAGAATTTATTCTTAGGCAATACAAGATCAATATTTGACCAGTATATATACTTGTTCCCCTCTCTTCTACGAGCAAGGGTTTGGGTATTGTGTTAAACATGATCAGACCCTTTTTTCCCATCATTAGTTTCAACAGATGAGGTGTCTTCACATGCTATGTGTGTATCAGCAGGGTTTTCCTGGCTCAGAATGGGCCTTCAGGGAGGAAGACTACAAAAAGACACGATCGGTCTGGATAAACAGGAAAGCATTGAATCAGCGTTTCCTTATTCGACAGAAAACTCGGCATTTCCCCACTATGTCTGTCCATTTCTTAAGAAAAATGTCTGTTCCATTTGGTAAAAAATAAAAAATCAACAAAACTGGTTTTAAAACATATGTTTTTTTTCTTTTATTCACAATTGTTATCATGTTTGTGCTGGTGAGTTTTCTTTGGAACTGGCTAAAACCTCTTTTGGATGTGCCCAAAATTCCTCTATGCAGGAAAAAAACTGATCAGGGATGGAAAAAATAGTTATTTCTTTTTCATAATGAACAACAACAATGCGAGTTAAAATACACAATCACAAGTCTTATCAACCAAATACCAGCAAATTGTACTCCAGTCAGTCTTTATGCAGTACAATGGACCCTGTCAGTGTTACAGTTCCTATATAAACTATTCACCTTTTATTGCTTTTAATCATTGAATCGTGGTCAGTTTAATGTCGCATTTTGTCAAAAATGTACAAAAAAGATTCTTTCATGTCAAAGTGAAATCAGATTTCTACAAAGTATTGCAATTGATCATCTGAGTGCAGTTCATGTGCCTCAAGTGACTGTCGTGTAAGACACCTGAATCTGGAAGGTACAGTCACTGTTGAACCAGTGCTATGTGCTCCAACTGCACCGTGAAGACAAAAGAAAGCTCCAAACAACTCAGTGAACGGTTATTAAAAAAACATAAGTAAACTTTGTAGAATTCTGTTTTCACTTTGACATGAAAAAGCCTTTTTGGTGGATTTTTCTCAAAAAAGCCAAATTATAATAACCATGGTTCAATGTTAAAAAGCAAAAAAAAGAAAACTTTCATGGCAAGTGAATCCTTTATATAGGCGCTGTATAGTATTGTTCTATAATATTTGAACACAAATTAAAAGTCTTTGCTAGAACATAGAACTCTGTTATACGAGGTGTGTCAGAAAAGTTCCAGGACTGGTGTCACAAAAGGTATATTTCAAACACAAACTACAAACTACCAGTTTTCCCCTTCAGATGATCAACCATCACGTCTACAAAGAGATCCTGCAGCGTTTGCTTCGTTCAGTGCGCGAGAAGAAGTTGTGGCAGGACAAGTCGTGGCTGCTTCACCATGACAACGTGCCTGCTCACAATGCCCTCAGCATCTGACAGTTCCTGGCTGAGAAGAACATCACGGTGCTGGAGCAACCTCCCTACTCACCCCACCTGGCTCTGTGGGATTTGTTCCTCTTCCCCAAGCTCAAGGGGGTCATCAAGGGGACCCATTTTAAAGACGTGGACGACATCAAGATGGCTGTGACGATGGTGCTACGGAGGATCCCAGAAGAATCCTTCCAGGAGTGCATGGCGGCGTGGCAGAGAAGGCTGGGGAAGGGTGTTAGACTCCAGGGGGATTACTTGGAAGGAGAAAACTTGGAGTTTGTAGTTTGGGCTTGAAATATATCTTTTGTGACACCAGTCCTGGAAGTTTTCTGACACACCTCATATACAAGTTTAATCTTTATCTATTTATCATATTTGTGTGTGTAGAATCTTCATCCATTATGTAAGCATCCAATATAGGTTTTTGTTGTGACCTAAAATGTACTATGTTACCCCGTTAAATGTTTGGAAGTACAAGTATTTTCATCCATCTGTTGGGGACCTCTAACTAGGATAGGAAATGTCTACGAGTCTCTTAAATTATTTGGGAGCTGATACCAAGACCTAACACCAATGTTTAGTCATGGCACGTCATGTTAATCATCAGACTATAAGCAGAAGAACTTTTGCTTATTTAAAAATGTTGCTCCAAGGAGCTTTACACATACCACACCTTGTCTCTTTGAGCTAATGTTGAACCTCATGACCCAGCTTCTAATCTACTCTGAGAGATCATGTGTGGGTTTAGCTTAATTTCTCACTAAGCCGAACATCACTTGAGGTAGTTGTGACTCGGTGGCTAAGGCTTTGGGCTACTGATCGGAAGGTCGGAGGTTCAGGCTCTATTTATTTATTTATATGCTCTATTGATACTCGTGGGATTGATACAGTTTATAGATAAAAACGCCTCTGTGTGTGTGTGTGACATGTTTAAACATTTATCAGATTAAAAGTCAGAATATTCTGATTTTGCTGTAAAACTCGTGACATCACCAAATTGTGCAGCTCTTCTTTTCCCAGCTCTTGTATTTGTAACCGTCTGTAATGTGCGTGTTTTCCCACCCGCTCACAACAGCGACTGCAGCACTGGCAGCCTCGTCCATCCAGGCCGTCCCCCTGCCCTCGTCCCCTGCCCGGCCTTCACATTGAGGCCCACCCCTCCAACCTGCCGTCCTTGCTGCAGAATCCCAGCGAGCACATCATGGTAGATGTGACCAAATGGCCCCTTTTCAGCCTGATGGGGCCTCAGGAGCTTTCATCCATACGGAAAGCATGCGTGTTTGGAACGTCCGCTAATGAGGCCATCTACATTACCAACGATGATGAGGTGGGAGGTCGGGAGGGGGGTGGGAGGAGTGGGTTGTTGCTGTGTGTTAATCATGCGAGTGATGATGTAAGGGTTTTAGGGTTATTTCGAGAAGTTAAGTGGTGCATAACTAAGAGTTAGAGGAGCTTTATGGTGTGTTTGAGCTATATTCGTGTTTGATTTACATCCAGATAATTTTCTTTAGCACAGTCTGGATTTTTTTTTTAAAGATTTGCCACCATAAAGTTAGATTCTGTTCACACCACATTCACTTTTAATCAAAAGAGGAAGAACCTGCTCATATTAGGTAATCCATGACAGAGGATGCTTACACTGCATTCTAGTTTTAATGTCAGTTTTAAATTATTATAGCACAGTGAGGTAACAGTGAGAAGAGAGCCTACATGGGTGGCAGTCATACTTCCTTAAGAGGAAATCCATCATTTTGCCCATTTACACACTGTAGAAAGTCATTTATTATGTTATTTGTTGCATTACTTTTGCATTACTCTGCAACATCCTTTGAAATGCATTGACACTTAATTGCCAGTTAACAATATAATGTTAAGCCTTGTATATACTGACATCTAGACAGATTATCCCTATTCTAATAAACAGGGTATACACAAGTATTATACTGTTATGTAAAGCTTTATAGTTTGTGAGGCCAGTCTAAAGAACACATCATATGTGTCCCCTGCCCGGCCTTCACATTGAGGTCCACCCCTCCAACCTGCTGTCCTTGCTGCAGAATAATGTTGTATCAAGAACAAGGCCCATCTGAGGAGAATCAAGGTGGCACTGGCAGTTAGCTTTACTGCTTTGACACAGGATGAGACACTGTAATGTGATCACTGAATTTAGGAGCAGCAATGTGTTTCATTACCGAGTTACAGGCAAATGTTGTGTAATTACAGTGAAGCGTAACACTAAGACTGGTGGTGCATTTAAAGTGGCGTTAATGAATATTTTTTTTAAAGGACAGAGACCAAAACAGAGCTAAAATAAATGAATATATTATTCATCATGTTTGTTGGGTAGCTATAAGCATGGCGTTATTTCGTGCTGGAATGTGACAACATTGTAAGTGGTTACTGACACTTCACAATAATAAAAAAAAAAGCTTTATAAGGTAAAAGCATGCCAGTGTGTATTTTCAGCTTCTTGAAGTGGCCAACAAAAATAATTAATGCAGCTTTAAAAACATTTCAAAGTACACATTCAAAAAGCTGCTACTGAAAAGCATTTTAATCAGAAGTTTATTGCTCAGAAGCCAAAATGGATGTGTTGTGTTTTGTTACTTATTGTTCTATTGCCTGCAGCAGCTGGATAGTTGATTAGAATTGCTGCGACTTTATTGCTTGAGCCAACAGGTGCTACCTAACTAAATGTGGTGCCAGTTGGTAGCTCAGAGCCCAGAAACACGAGACACCACTGTCATGAAAAGCAACATTATGAAAGTATTGTTTCAAAAGTTTGACATATCAATATAAAACTATCTGTTATAAAATGAAAATGAACTTCTGTCTTGATCAAGAAAAAAAGAATAATGATATTGTGTAATAGTACAAGGAGTTTTGATAAAATCTGCATTGGAAAATTAGTGTAAAATCATTTATACATCTGGTTATTTCTTTCATTTATTACATGCTAAAGTCAAAAATAAACTCCAGGCCACTGCCGCAGTCACCTCTTTGTGTCGGGGCTGTTATTATGTCCTGGCTTGGTGGCACCAGACCTTCACCTGCAGCTTTTATCACCGCTGCCTGACGGTGTTGATGTTTGTGTGTCTGGAAGGTGACCTGCTACTTACTCAGCTGACTGCTCTCTGTTTAGCTGTCCTTATCACTGATCCATATTGCATGCTTTCTCCCTCCACACTCAGGTGTATGTGTTTGGGCTGAACTGCAGTAACTGCCTGGGAACAGGAGACAGCCAGAGCACAATAGTACCCAAGAAGCTGGACTTCCTCAGCGGCAGGAAGGTGGTCAGCCTGAGCTACGGCAGCGGACCCCACATCCTGCTGGCCACAGAGGGTTAGCTTCACAAAAACATGTAATCCTCCTCTTCACAGTTGGATTCAAAAGTGCAGCAGATTGACTAATCTCTGTGTGTTTCAGATGGAGAGCTGTTTGCCTGGGGCCATAACGGCTACAGCCAACTGGGAAATGGGACAACCAACCAAGGAGTGGCTCCGGTGCTGGTGTCTGCCAACCTGCTCAATAAGAAGATCACAGAGGTGGCCTGTGGCTCGCACCACTCCATGGCTCTGACTGACTCAGGAGAAGTGAGTGTCTAGGGATAAAAAAAGATTGCTTTTACAACAAATCTCTGCATCGATGCACATGTAAAACCTCTTTAAATACACAGGTGACTCAGCTTTGGTTACAGGCAATGCTTACAGGCATACAGACCCTTACAGGACCCTAAGTCCAATCACAGCCGTGGCTGATCCCTCCCTGAGCTGAAAACCTAGAAAACTAAGCTCAGCCATAAGGAATCTATTGTGCTTCACACTGCTTCACACGCAGTCAGCTTTAGTTATGGGCACAGCAAGCCTGGCTTTGCCGCCTTGCATCCAGCCTTTATGCCAAGATAGCCAGAAAATAAATCTATTTTTCATATTGTCAAACTTCTCCTTTAAGCTGCAGTGTATTGGTATGATTTTGAGTACAGCTGATCCACAGTAAATACAGATAAAGCACATTAAAATCATCACTCAAAAGCTACACGACAGCCAGCAACCTATTTACCTCTTCGCATTAAGAAGCTTGAACGCTGTGCACATGGAGGAATGCTTGTTGCGATTTAGCCTCCACTAAAGGGTCGTAAAAGCTGGAATTTGGAGCAGAGGGTACAAGTGAGGATGAGTAATGTTCTGTGTGGCACGATGAGAACAGTCTGTTTTTAGAGTAATAGAGGAGACGGGGTGATATTTAACTCTCTTTAAAAAACTGTCCCGCTTTCAACAGAGCTTTCTTTCTATCATTTGAACGCACCGTCTCACTTCTCGCCTTCTTGTCTGCCAGGTGTACGCATGGGGCTACAACAACTGTGGTCAGGTGGGCTCGGGCTCCACAGCGAACCAGCCCACACCCCGCAGAGTGTCCAGCTGCCTGCAGAACAAGGTGGCCGTCAGCATCGTCTGCGGTCAGACCTCATCGTTAGCAGTCGTGGATAACGGAGAGGTCAGTGTTTCACTTGTACTTGGAGCTATAAATATATGAAAAGCTATGCTGCTCTGAGTGCAACAACTCTCGTGCGTCTCTTTGTGCAGGTGTACGGTTGGGGTTATAATGGGAACGGACAACTGGGACTTGGAAATAACGGGAACCAGCTCACTCCCTGTCGACTTGCAGGTCTGCAGGGTTTATGTGTGCAACAGGTGAGTCTCAAAACACATGCGCACATAAACCCTACACAGAACTCCATTAAGAATCCAACTGTTTTTAGGCTTGCTTCAGTGTCACAGTAATCAGTGACAGTGTCTCTATGTCCATGATTTCCTGCAGACAGCAGCCACTCACTGAAAATTCTGCTGCTTTAATGTGACGGTTTGGAAAAAATGTGAGCCAATTCAAGCTAAAATCTGAGCTCAGAGATCAGCAGAACCTTCCTGCAGATTCAATTTATGCATATGAGGCTGCAGATGGGATTTAAACTACTTGAGTAAAAACAGAAACTCAGTTTATATTAGTAATAATATGAACTGAACAGGTAGCATCACAGTGACTACACCTGCCCTGCATACAGAAGTCCAGTCAGATTCAGTGGAATTCTGCACACATGGTTCCTGACACCCTATACATGACTCTAATGTATGACACATATTTTTTAAGATAAATGTAGTCCAAAATAAAAAACCTTACAAGGAGAAAATCTAATATGTACACACTAACTCACATCAACCTATGTCAAACCAGATTTTTTTTTTCTAGCTTTAAGAAACGGCACGAAAGGATTTAATATGTAATTTAAGTTTTGAACTGTTCAATTTTTTTCAAAGGCAAAAGTAATTTTCTTGTCACTACATGTGTCGGTATTTCTCACAAATTCCACCATGCAAGTCTTCAAATAGGAAAAAATACCTTTTATAGAACAGGAGACTAATAGATTTGCTGGGACAAAGACCTCTGGAGAAGAACAGCTGGAAATATTAGATCCAAAAAAAAGAATAGCAGATGATAGTGTTACTTTGAAGTTTAATTATACATCGAAGCTTACATTTGCATTTTCTGCAAGTCATCCTTTACTCAATAAAAATAGCTGAATTAACTTTTGCTTAAACAATGACTGCTGAGGCAGGGTTTGCTTTTAGGTTTAATTATTCAAATTGCTAACACAGACCCTTTTAAGTTGCAGGACCGCAAAGTGTGACAAGATCTTGCACTTTTTAGTTTACTTTTCAATTTGTCAGACTTCAGCAAAATCACGTTTTCAAATTTCACTGCTTCTATGTAATTAGCAACAGATATAGTTTAAAAGTACCCAAAGCTAAATGTGATGCTGTGTGTTGTCTTACAAGTAGCCATGAAATTTTCAGTTTACAGTATAAATACAGCAATTTTTCACATTTAAGAAGCTGTAACCAGCACATTTATAGGGCTCAAGTAGTCAGAATGGTCATTTTACGCAGTCAGACTAATCCATTTGGACTTGACTTATTTGGCATGTTAAAATGGTGGGTCTCACATCTAACGTTTTTTTTTTTTTTCCCCTCTCTAGATTGTCTCAGGCTATGCCCACTCCTTGGCACTGACCGACGAGGGGTTGCTTTACGCTTGGGGTGCCAACACATATGGACAACTGGGCACCGGGAACAAGAGCAACCAGCTGAGCCCAGTTCAGATCATGACTGAGAAAGAGAGGTGAGATGAACCATCACCACACACACACACACACAGAGTAAAATCCTCCCATCACTGCACTACCACTGACTGACTTCTCTTCTCTGACTTCTTTCACAGAATCGTAGAGATCGCTGCCTGTCACTCCACACATACATCAGCTGCTAAGACCCAGAGTGGTCAGGTGTACATGTGGGGTCAGTGCAGGGGTCAGTCCTTGGTCCTGCCTCACCTGACACACTTTACCTGCACCGACGATGTCTTTGCATGCTTTGCCACGCCCTCGGTGATGTGGAGGCTCCTTTCCATGGGTAAAAAAGGGGCTCATTTGCCCAAATAAAGCAAGATATTGTTACTTTTTAGAGATACTGACTTTGCCGATACCAAAACATGCACATATTTTTTCCAGCCAAATTGCAGAGAACATCATATCTCTCCTGCATATTATTATCGCTACTCTTATGATGGCTGACCAGCAGGTGCAGACATAAGATGGAATTCTTTTTAAATGTACACGGTAATAAGGCAAGATAAGAAAACTACTCACATCTAAACTTGCCATATTTATTTTTATGTAATATTTTCAAACTAAACTGTAAATTTTAGCCTGAGAGACATTATCTGCCTGTCAGTGTCATTTTAGGTCAATATTCTTTTATAGCCTTTATTGGCAGATACTAGATATTAATATCATTGTGCATTTCTGTTATCTAGTAATTAGAATTAGGTTTGATTTTGGTTCCATAAAACACGTAACATGCTTCTGTTGCTGATAATCACTTACCAAACAGTTTTTTTGGGTTGATATTTATTTAGGTTTTAATTAATCTTTGTTCGGTATGAAAAATCAGCATACATGGACTTTGGACAGGTAATTCATTACAGCCATTTTTGGTTTGTTTACTTTAATCACATGGTAACACAGCTGTGATTTTCCAGTGTTACATTTTTCCTGAACCAAGGACCAGTTTTCAAAACAGTTTTTGTATTTATGTCTGCATTACAAGATGGAACATTATATTAAAACTAAAGTTGGCTAAAGGGTTATGTTAGGTGGATATGTAAATTCATTCACTTTTTTTTTTTTGCACAATGTAAATAATGTGCAGGTCGCAAAGTCAGGACTCTGGAGTCACAATAATTTAATATTTCCATAACCTGGGTCACAAAACAGTTCTAACAAAGAGGCAATAAGAAGCACTGGAAAAAATACTTACATTTTTAAAAAATCAAAGTTTGTTAAATGATTAATATTACCTATGATGGCTAGTCTCACTTAGCAAGTCTCTGCAGCTTTATGTTTGTATACTAAAAATAAAAGGTATAGCCCTTGGTGCCAAAGAAACAGAATTTCAGTCTAGAAACCTGTGGTACTTTATGTATGATTAAAAATGTATAGTATTGTAGTATAAAACCTACAGTGGAAGCGATGTTGTGCAGATGTGTCTGTGCAGGCCTTGGATTTATAAAGACAATAGTAGAAAAAGAAGAGTCTCTTTTAGATAGTTTTGTTGAAATTCAGAGGAATTTTCTTGAATTCGACTCGTCATAAATCTTGCTTACCATCCTTTTTTTAGTTGATCTTTTGAATTGTCATCGTAGGAAGAGCAGAAGTGCCGCTAATGCACGATGACAGCGGTTCTGTTCGGTTTAAGTGACCGTTAGCCAGTGTACATATTACACAGAAAGGTATGAAACCAAAGCAGCTTAATTGATTAAATTAGACCGCTGCTCTTCCTATTGTGACATATCAAAATGTCTGCTGTAAAAAAGGTTATTGGAACAGTATTATTTTCCTAATACGGTGTGTTGAATTGCTTACCAGTAGACAAGTAGCTCAGTTAGACTTAAGGGTGCACTAGATTTGCATTTAATTGGATTAATTAAAGGCCACTGTTTCAATAGATTGGGATCCATAATTACTCCCACCATATTACAGGGTAGTTGTCAGAAACTTTTAAAGCACATAAGAAACCAGTGATGCTTCCTGCCTAAGTTGCAGAAAGACGTGTGGTTAAAGCCACTGCTGCGGTTTTTCTTTCCCTTAACTTGATTTGTGTGTATGTGTGCCGGTTTCCTTCCTCTAGAGCACGATGACTTCTTGACCGTGGCTCAGTCTCTGAAGAAGGAGTTTGACAACCCAGAGACAGCTGACCTTAAGTTCTGCGTTGATGGCAAATATATCTATGTCCACAAAGCAGTTCTCAAAATCAGGTCAGGATTTCACCTCTCAGCTGTTAGTTTGACTGATACTACAAAGCAGAAATTCATAAAAAGACCATATATAATCAGCATTTGCAAAAGCCGTATCTATTGTGTGTCTATTGCCGTGCAGGTGTGAACACTTCAGATCAATGTTTCAGTCCCACTGGAATGAAGACATGAAGGAGGTGATTGAAATAGACCAGTTCTCCTACCCCGTCTACCGCTCCTTCCTGGAGTTCCTCTACACTGACAATGTGGAGTTGCCTCCTGAAGATGCCATCGGTGATGCTCACACACACACACTCGGCAGCCTAATCTCTCCTGACAGCTGTGTGTGTCGTCGTTAAAGGCTCCCGCTTTCCGTACGCTTTCAGGGCTGCTGGATCTGGCGACGTCCTATTGTGAGAACCGCCTGAAACGTCTGTGTCAGCACATCATCAAGAGGGGGATCACAGTGGAAAACGCCTTCTCTCTGCTGTCTGCTGCTGTGCGCTACGATGCAGAGGTCAGTCTTTCACCAGCAGCCTACCGACTATCATCTGTTTGTATAATATAGAAAGATCTATTTATCTTGGAATTCACATCTAAAACAGCTTTTCTAGAGTAAAGTTCAAAATTAATTATTAAAGAAAACAAAGGAAAGTCACTCTCTTTCTGAGAATTAGAAGAGAAGACTGATTGCATTCAAGTTTGCATAGTCAATAGAAAGCTAGCATTTGGTTAGCTTAGCATCAGTGGTGGAGTAAGTATTCAGATCATTTATTAAAGTAAAACTACCAATACAGCCATGTAAAAATACTCAATTGCAAGTGAAAGTCTTGAAAAAAAGCTGTATTTCTGTAAAAATACACAAGTATGAGCAGCAAACTGTAGTAAAAAGTATAAAGTAGAAGTCCTGGTTTGGTCCCTCTGACTGATACGTCATTAGATTATTAATCCTGCAGCATCAGTGTGTAAGCAGCTGCACTTTATTTACACTTTTATATACAAGATAAATATGAGACATATGAGAGTGACCAAAAAACTAAATTCTCAAGTTCTTTAATTTTAGATTTTTTTGGGAGATTCTGGATCATTTAAACATTTATTGAAAGTAATCGATGTGAGAAGTTAAGAGGGAAGAATCACTATTTAGTGGAGCTGTTTACCACTCAGACATCTGAAATGTGACCCTGACTACACGCTGCTTTGATAAGAGTATTACAAGCCTAAAATTTGGAAACCACTGACTTAATCTTTAACAATACTGTCTTTTGTAATAGGTTGTCATATTATCCACTGTGTTAAATTGTCATCTTAGAAGGAATTTAAGCTGTCAAATAAATGTAGCCAAAAGTAAAATACTTTCCTTGAGCATAGTGGAGGATAAGCATACAGGAAAAAAACAGAATAAATTACAAGTGCATCAAATGTGCTTAGTTTCTCTCCACTGCTGCTTGGCCTAAAGACTGCAAACGGGTGGAAACGAGTAGCCCAACTATTCAAAATTGATCAACTAGTACCTTAAAAGCTGGCGAGCTAAAATGTTTTCTCTTGTTTCTTCCATCTGTACAAAAAAACAACACATAAAAGCAAGTAGTGGTTTTAAGAAGACTATTTCTTGGCTGGTCGTTCCAGACCTGCTTCCTGTCTTTATGCTAAGCTAAACTAACCAGCTACCAGCTTCTGAGGTCTCTGCAAGGGTGTATTTCAAGATATATTTGTTCCATTGAGTTATTCAAAATGTCTCGTTCCTTTTCCTGGAGAATATCTGACCCAAATGAACAACACTTTGATTATTTGTGTATTTTATTTGATGTTCAGGACCTGGAAGAGTTCTGCTTCAAGTTCTGCGTAAATCACCTGACGGAGGTGACCCAGACCACTGCTTTCTGGCAGATCGATGGCAATCTGCTCAAAGATTTCATATGTCGAGCCAGTCGCTGCGGAGCCTTTAAAAACTGACCTCAACCCGAGGTGATGATCGGAGCAGAGGATGCTGCGGGACCCCAGGAGTGATTTCTCCAAGTACGTCATCACCTCCAGTCGACTACGCTCGCTGACAGATGGTTACACAGTGGAGGTTGTTAGATGAGCACCATCACTGCTGAATCTGTTACTCGTCTCATTCCAGATGAGAATGTACATAAGCTGTACATAGGAAAATGATAAGCTGACAGGTAGCAGCATCGTTACATACAGTAGCTGTTTCCCACAGTGCCTGGCCTATTGATTTACACATATTGTGTAAAGTGGGAGCTTAAATGCATCGAGAAGCATGCTAGTGCTTGATCAAGTTATTTCTTTTTAACTTGAAAGTTTCCTGGCCTGATATCACTTTACGTTTTCTATTTTTTTCTGTTGAATCGACCAAGTTATTTCAAGGGGTTTGCACTTTTGTTTTGAATATCATCGTTTGGGATGTGCCATCTGGATTCATTGTTTTTAGGTTGAAGTATGAGACTTTTTGCACTTGTAGATGTCAGGATTGAAAAACTATTTGAGGTCTGAACACTGACATATTAATACTTCAGCATTCGAGGCTGGATTAAATCCATTCAGGTCAAATTCCAGTCAGCGTAAAGTGGTCCTAGTGGCCTCCACAGCTGCAATGGTAAGGTGTGAGGATGTAAGTTACAGAGTCAGGTTCAGTCTTAAATTCTAAATTTCACTCTGTTTGTTGATGCCACGGGTTGGTTTGTGTTATTATGGGCAGCTCCATAACATTAATCCATCTAATCATCTATTTTTACCACACAAATAATTCAGTTGGTAAGAACGAGCAGTTACAAATGTACAGAACCATAAGAAACTAAGGAGACTTCTGGTTTGTTTCAACCTGCCATAGTTCCTATTATTGTGGCTTTAGGTGTCAGATAACTTTTCTGTTACCTCTGCTGTAGAGATTCAGGGGAATGAGGAGTCACACAGAACAGCCATTTAGCATGAGCTCCCTGCAGCGTTCCAAAGAAAGACGACTTTTACATGAATCAATTTAAACATTTGTTTTTCACGTGCGACTGAAAGTAAACACAGGAATTGGTCATCTTGAAAGGCCAGTTTGCTAACTATGTAGAGCTTTTCTCATTGTATGGAGAGCTATGTAAATGCACATGTAAAAAAACAAAACAAAAAACAACAACTCATGTGTGCTGATAAATATAGCAGCGATTAGGTAGATCCCAAATAAAGTTAGCAACATGGCTGTTCCATGCTGCTAATGTCTGTGTTTACCTTCGCTCAGACACAAAAACAAACATTTAAAATGATTCATATAGAGACGATGCTTCCTTTGGAAGGCTACGGGGAGCTCACAGTAATTTCCTTGCTCAACATTGTTCTCAAGCTGCTTTGTGCAACTCTTCAAAGCCCAATATTTGTGACAGTGTGGAACGTCCACACAGCAAAGTGCGCCAACTGTGCATGTGCCAGAAACACAAATGATGCTCGAAACAAGAGCTTGTTAGGGAGTGAGGCTGTGATTCTCCGTCATCCACACCTTAAAAATTCCACAATAAGAGCTGTAATTGAAGTCGCTGCTGGACTTTGGAGGTTGCTTTGATTTGTAGCTCTATGCTTTCCATTAATGGTGCCCAAATTCAGTGAGACGTTCGGAACTCTCCAGAAATCCTGTGTGATGTCCACCCACTGTGCTCCGCAAACCTCGGGAATAATCATTGACACAGTGCTGCAGCCCAATCTGTGACCAGCTGCCATGTTCTGTGGAAGTCAAAGCCAGCCTTACAGAAACAGCCACGAGATCCCTTGTGTTTTTCTTTGTTCAATATGAGGGGCAGTGTGACCATCTGCACAGCACACTGATGTGTGCCTGTTGCAGTGTCAACAGAACTGTGTGTGCATTTCATAGTCTGTATCAGTCAGTGTGTGAAGATGCAGAAACCAAGTACGCAGGGGTCCGTGTCATCTCCATTTCATCATCTCCTTAACTCCCTTAGAGTCTGTGTAGATGTGTGCAGCCCAGATTTTGTGTCCGGACACTGTAGGACAATATTAGTGCACATGCTTGGCAAAAGTGTGCATGTGTGGAAAATGTACAATTCTACAATTTCATGTAGCAGACGCTTTTATCCAAAGCGACGTATATCTGAGAGCAGATACAAGACAAGCAAGGATCTAGTCAGAAGAAAACAATCTGGGTACGTGCCATAGAACAAGTTCAAGTGTGATATGGCGTTGATCCCAATAGCAGGCTGTGTGGGAGGTAACAGGAATTTTTTTGTAGATGTAGTTACAAGGGAGTATTATACTCCTTTGCAGACAGACGGCTGTGGACGCTGCAGATGCATAGTTATTATACAACTTTCTAGTCTGCTTGCTGGACTCGGTTTCATATAAATTCAGACTGACATCTATGTATGTATCTAAGTATGAGCAGTACTCCTCTTGAGGACACAAATCTGGAGCTGACCATGGACGTCCACACAGTGGTTTGGACTTGGGCACATGACAAAATTGAATCACTTGGACACTCTCGGATCATGAATGCATAAAGTGTAACACTGGCCTAAAGACCACTCATGGTTTCCACATCCCCGTGCATTGAAAGCAGACAGTTGATGCACATGTGCTTCTATTCGTACTACAATAGGTACATGCATGTCTGCTACATAGAGCTGTTGCATTGCCCCTCAGACTGAAAACTAAAAGGAGCTCGAGCAGCTGCTTACAGACTGGACTGTGTCAGTGTGAGGCGTATGGACACAGCACGGGACTTTTGGAGAATTTAGAACTTGCCACTGTGTTTGAATACCATCAATGGAAAGGACGTACAAAGCTCCTCCAAAGTCCAGCAGCGACTACATCAATCACAGCTCTATGAGGGATGAATTTCAAAAGGTGTGGATGACAGAAAGTCTCCTTGCACAGTTTCCCCTCATGACAAACACTGGTTTTGAGCAGCAGTTGTTTTTCTAATACACGTGCGGCCGGTGTGCTAGCAGTGTGAACGCTAATTCTTTGGCTGCATCCAGACGTTCTCAGAGGAGTCTATAGGGACATTTGTAGATTTGAGCAGTCTGTGAATATCACAGTCCCTTGAATAGATGCAGAAAGCATAAATTGACCTTAAAGCCACATGACTGTGAAACTATTCCAAGTTAAAATAAACCGAAATTTTCCTTTTAAGATATGTGGCCTTGCAGAAGCTTAGGTTGTGTGGTCCTGGATTTTCTGTTTTTCATCTGCACGATATCTACTGTATGTTGAAAATGTCATTTTACAGTATTAGCATTTATTAAGTTGTTTAGAGACTTCTGCACTATTGCTGTGTGTATTTTAAATAGTATATTTAGTCATTTCTATGCAGGACATTCAAAATGAATAATCGTGTCTATTGATACTGAGTATTATGAAGTGCCAGTTAAAATCTGTGACCTCTGCAAGCAAATAAAATGACTTTGATCTGCTTGTTTTCTGTAAAAAAA